GGGAGGCTGAGCAACAGGACTGCCAGGGCACTCTGAAGCAGGGCTAGGGAGAATCAGGGGCCGAAGTTAGACCAGGGCCAGAGGAGGGTTCCATACGTAAGGTAGGACAGAGAGAACACGCCAAGGAGTGGCAGGACCCCAGTAAGCCTCCTTCCTTGGCATGGGCCCCACTTCCAGGATTCGGGGTGCCCCCCACCCACTCCTACTTGCTGACCAGATAGTAGATCCCCTGGGGGTGCAGGGGCTGGAGCTCCTATGCAGACACGGCTGTCGATCTGATAAAGCAGGGCTGGACACAGCAGAGCAAACTGACGAGGGGTCAGAGGAACAGCAGGGCTCAGGCCAAAATTGACCAGTAGCTGGGAGCCATTCAGACACTAGGGGAGTCGAGGGTCATACATTGGAGAATCACCAGGAACTATGACTCAGATCTTTTAACACCTGGCCAGGTGCAGTGGCTCACACCTGTAATCCCAGCACTGGGGAGACCGAGGCAGGCTGATCACCTGAGGTCAGGAGTTCGAGACCAGGCCAACATGGCGAAACCCTGTCTCTATTAAAAATACAAAAATTAGCTGGGGATGGTAGTGAATACCTATAATCCCACTACTTGGGAGGCTGAGGCAGGAGAATTGCTTTTACCCAGGAGGTGGAGGTTGCAGTGAGCCGAGATAGTACCATTGCACTCCAGCCTGGGTGACAGCAGACTCCGCCAAAAAAAAAAAAGTGATATTTTACACCTGTCCTTCCATTGCATAGACTCCTGGGTCTCTCCTAGGGTCCCCTTTGCTCCTACTAGCAGGTCCCGTGGGGACTGGAGCAAGGGTACTTATAAATCAATGTGTATTTATTATTAGTGGATATTCAATCCAATACAGACACTCAATTCAGTACAAACTGGGTGCTAGTGAGCATCGTCCTCATTCCCCCGCCAAACCCTGATCATTTCAATCATCGCATTGATTTGATAAAGGAAGCTCCAAAACTAGAGTTCTCCATGCCAGAATCTTAAAAGGGAAAAGACCTGAAATGCCATCCAACCTCCCTCTCAACATCCCTGTCCCATGTTCATCCGGTCTCGGCTTGAATGCTTCCTGTGATGAGGCACTCACTGGACCCCCATCAGGTTAGAGCAGCTTTGTCTGCATTCTCTGTCTTTCTGGATGAAGACAGCCATCCATTCCCTGCAGGTCTCCTCTCCAGATGACAATCCAGATTCTACCCTGGGCTGCTTCTCTACAGTCTCTGCTTTGCCAACTGTGACCCTAAACTGGGTCCTGGAGCTCTGAATATGGGTTCACCTGTTCTGATCCCAAAGGGAACATAGCTCACTATTGAAATAACATTCCCTAAAGCCACAATGGGATTTTTTTTTTTTTTTTTTTTTTTTTTTTTTTTGAGACACAGTCTCACTCTGTTGCCCAGGCTGGAGTGCAGTGGCACGATCTCGGCTCACTGCAATCTCTGCCTCCTGGGTTCAAGCAATTCTCCTGCCTCAACCTCCAGAGTAGCTGGGATTATCAGCATGCACCACCACACCTGGCTAAGTATTTTTAGTAGAGACAGGGTTGGTCTTAAATTCCTGAACTCAGATGATTCACCCGCCTCGGCCTCCCAAATTGCTGGGATTATAGGTGTGAGCCATTGGGCCTGGCCTTTTTTATTTTTTATTTTTTTGAGACAGAGTTTCACTCTTCTTGCCCAGGCTGAAGTGCAAATGGCGCAATCTTGGGTCACGGCAATCTCTGTCTCCCAGGTTTAATGGATTCTCTCATCTCAGCCTCCTGAGTAGCTGGGATTCTAGGTGCCTGCCACTACACCCGGCTAATTTTTGTATTTTTTAGTAGAGATGGAGTTTCACCATGTTGGCCAGACTGGTCTCCAACGCCTGGCCTCAGGTGATCCACTCACCTCAGCCTCCCAAAGTGCTGGGATTACAGATGTGAGTCACCCCTCCTGGCCCAACTCCTGATTATTTAAACACTTCAGCCCATCCGATCCCATGGCTCCTTCCCCCTCTAGAGACCATCAGACTCACATCCTCATTCAGGTGGTCAGCCAATGAGTGGTCCAGCAGCAGAAGCCTGTGAAAGAGGTCCAGGCCCGAGGGGGCTGGCCCACGAGGTAGGTGAGGGGCCTTTGACTCTTCCAGGTCATCCCACCCTGAGGGACCCAGAGGCATCCCTGCCCAGATATCCACACTCAGCTCAGGGTTCTGCGGCCTGGAATGGATGAGATAGCAGGTCAGCCTCCCTTGTGTCCTATCGACCCGCTTTGAGAGGCTCCCAGGGAGCTTAGGGGAGAAGGGGGAACCAGCCGCTGACTGGAGATCCTGGGACGCAGAAACCATGGAATGTCATCCTTAGGAAGATCTGAGAGTTATCCATATTCTGCCTCTGGGGTGACAGAAAACAAAAGGAGGACAACTGAAAGGGCTATGAATGGCTGGGCACGGTGGCTCACGCCTGTAATCCAAGTACTTTGGGAGGCCAAGGCAGATACGTTACCTGAGGTCGGGAGTTCAAGACCAGCCTGACAAATATGGTGAAACCCTGTCTCTACTAAAATTACAAACATGAGCTGGGTGTGGTGTGTACCTCTAGTCCCCGCTACTCAGGAGGCTGAGGCAGGAGGATCATTTGAAATCGGGAGGTGGAGGTTGCAGTGAGCCGAGATTGTACAATTGCACTCCAGCCTGGGTGACAGAGTGAGACTCTGTCTCAAAAAAAAAGAAAAAGGGCTGTGAATTTGGAGCCAAGTCAGCCCAGAGACACTGAACATTGGGACTAACAGCATGAAACCTAAGGGCTTAGAGATTTGGAGGAGAGAATTAGAAGGCAACAGAGGGCCAGGGTGGTGGCTTACATCTGTAGTCCCAGCACTTTGGAAGCCCAAGGCAGGCAGATCCCTGAGCCCAGGAGTTTGTGACTAGCTGGGCTGGGCAACATGTCGAAAACATTTTCTCTACAAAAAATTTAAAAAATTAGCCGGGCATGGTGGTGTGTGCCTGTGGTCCCAGCTGCTTGGGAGGCTGAGGTGGGAAGATGGCTTCAGCCTGGGAGGTGCAGGTTGTAGTGAGCCGTGAATGTATCACTGCACTCCAGCTGGGTGACAAAGTGAGACCCCTGCCTCAACAAAACAAAACAATAGAGAAGGCAATAGAGGCATGAGAGGCCTTGAGAAGATACCAAGGAGCTGGGTTCTGAAGAATTTGTAACTCCAGGGATCTCATGAGGAAGCCAGAACAAGGCAACTCGGGGCAAGCACTGAGAGAGCTGGGGGATTGACCCTGTGGGGTAGAGGAAGGGGTCAGTACCTGTGCGTGGAATTGTCTGCAGTTGGGGGTGCAGCCCGTCCAGTCAGAGGCCCATGCTGTCCCAGGCGAAGCCCCTGAACTCGGCCTAGCCCCAGGCTGTGGAGAAGCCTTGCCAAGCCCCCTGCAGTCAATGTCCCGTTCTCTCCGTACAGGCCAAACAGCTGGGCAAGGTAATGGCTCTGCTCCTGCTCAGCAGGGCCCAGGTTGGGGACTGAGCCCCCTACCCAGCCCAAGACAACCCACACACAGAAGCTGGCCAGCAGATGACTCACTGGGGACCCCATCATTGCAGGGGAAATGGCTCAGGAGCTCTGGTTCTGGCTCCTATTCTCCCCGAAGCATCCTGAGGACAGTGTCCTGGAAGAACAAGGATTGGGCTGGAGCTGTTGCTCTGCTCTCCAGCTCAGGGCCACAGGGGAGCCAGAGCTCCCTGTACCTGCCCCACACCGAATCCAGCCGCAGCCCCTACTGCAGCCTTCCTCCCTCCACACTGCCTCCTGCAGGAGCAGCCTCCGGCTTGCCAGTTCCTAGGGCACCTCCCTGACTCGGAGCTCTCCCCATACTTCATCCAGAGCGGAGTGTCCATCCCTTGTCCTCTAAACCCCACCTCTCAACTTTGCCCCACCTCTCTATCCCCCCCTCAATCCCCAGGGCCTCACCCCCACTGGCAACGTGAGAGCTGTCACCTCAGGTCCCCTATTAGGCCTTGATGTGGAAATTAAGCAGTTCCTGAGTCAGGGAGGGGGAAATCCAGACTGAGCCTCCAGGTGTCCAGGTGGAACAGAGGCCACGTCACATAGAAGGCTGAGATGGACACTTACCCACTCCTAGCCCACCTGCCTTGGGGTGGGGTCAGGGGTGGGGCCAGTGTGGGAAGGCTCACCACAGAGAGGAGTTAATGGTTCACTGGTCTCTGGGGTGGGGGTCAAAGGTCAGTCTCTGCTGGGCCTCTGAGTAGGGAGGGGCCACCCTCTGCCCTGGGAAAGCCACATGGTTAAGGAGAACCTGGGCCTAGTTTTTTTTCCTCTTAAATAATTCACCCCACTTTTAACACAGTACCATTTTAGCCTTTTCCCGCATATACTTCCACCCCATCTACCTTACATCTGGCCCTGAATTCATCTCCAACCCCCATCCCCATATTCCCTGGGAAGGTTGGATTCAGGTATCCCTAACCTGGGAGGAGGGAGAAGAGGCAGATGAATGCCAAGCCCAGATGCATGCATGGGAAAGAAACTGTTCTTAGCAACAGTTTCTCACCCCAAGGAGAGAAAGAGCCGGAGCTCTAGGGATCGATGACCAATAAAGGGGACGCTCTGCAGGGGAGAAGAAACAGGGATCTGGGCTCCCCTCTGAAGTCTGACCTGACCTAAAATCAGGCAAGCAATGTCTGATCGGGGTGACCAGTCCATGGGGTTGAGGTTGGCATTACCTGTTATCAGGAGACAAGAAAGACACCCAGAGGAAGGGGGACACAACCTTCTTGCTTCCAGCTGGGGGCGCAGGCAGGCAGGCAGGCGGGCAAGGGTCACCTGCAGGGAGCGGGTAGGGGAGGGACACTACCTTAAAGGGGCAGGTCTGCTTTGCCTGGGCCTCCTTATCTGTAACCTATCTTCCTTCCACCTTCCCAAATGCCTCATTGCTAACTTCTTCCTTTTCCCACAAAAAGCAAAGGAGTCCAATACAGAGTAGAGTGATAACATTTATTAGGAAAGAGATTTCAGTTAGACCCCCATGTCTCACACAGAAGAAATAGATGGTAACTGCCATTTCTTTTCTTTTTTTTTTTTTTTGTTTTTTGTTTTTTGAGATGGAGTTTCACTCTTGTTGCCCAGGCTGGAGTGCAATGGCACAATCTCAGCTCACTGCAACCTCCACCTCCCGGGTTCAAGCGGTTCTCCTGCCTCAGCCTCCTGAGTAGCTGAAACTACAAACATGAGCTACCATGCCCAGCTAATTTTGTATTTTTAGTAGAGATGGGGTTTCTTCATGTTGGTCAGAATGGTCTCGAACTCCCGACCTCAGGTGATCCGCCTGCCTTGACCTCCCAAAGTGCTGGGATTACAGGCATGAGCCACCGCGCCCAGCCGGTAACTGCCATTTCTAAAGAGGAAAGAGAGCAGGTGGAGGGTCCTGATTCCCAGGGGACAGGTAGTTCATCTGGACAATGGGGGAGTACAAGATTAGGGTTGATAAGGCCACTGCTCACCACCCCGCCACTGAAGTTCAGTGGCTAAAATACTACTACACCAGCCAGCCAGTAGAAGGCTATCTTGCTCTCCAGCAGACACTTGGAACGTGGTTGGTTGGTGGCAGGAAGGAAGAATGCCATGCTATCTCTTGCTGCTCCTCCGGGTTTCTTTGCCGTTACTAACAGCATTGCTGGAAGGGCCAGGCGGGCCTGCAGGTGTGTGGTTGGGCTGGCTTCGAGTGATTCGGGTGCTGGGTGGGTGGGAGGGAGTATGAGGGGGATGTGGGCCACCACTGGGACCTGATGGGGCACTCAGTCCATTCCCGTTCTGGCTCTCCAAGGCTAGTTGTTGGAGGAGAAGAAACAAAGGAATTAGTTAACATAGAAGAGGGTTCCATCCCAAGACCTGCCTCCATGCCCTAAAGAGTGGCACTGTCTTCACCATGCACAACTGCACCTTAAGGCCAAATGGACCAAATGCAAAAGACAGTGGGCCGCAAATATGAACCACGCTCCGGAGAAGACTCACACGATCATTTTGGAAGTTGCTACATGAACCTTGGTAGGATATTTTTCTCTTGTACTTACCTGTCTTACTGGGAATCAGACCTAATTAGCTGTTTAGTTCTAGGCTCAAGGACCTGACAAAAATGCCCCTTTACCAAAAGTGATTGTAAAACTGGAGAAGCATGACAAGGGGAAAGGCCTGAAGTATCAGTGTTAAAATATGAGGCACTTAAAAAAAAAAAAGGTGTGTATGTGTGTACCACAATGATACTGTTCATTTTAGAAAACATAGATAAAGTGGTTGGGCGCGGTGGCTCATGCCTGTAATCCCAGCACTTTGGGAGGCCAAGGTGGGTGGATCATGAGGTCAGGAGTTCAAGACCAGCCTGGCCAAATAGTGAAACCCCATCTCTACTAAAAATACAAAAATTAGCTGGGTGTGGTGGCACATGCCTGTAATCCCAGCTACTCAGGAGGCTGAGGCAAAAGAATCACTTGAACCTGGGAGGTGGAGGTTGCAGTGAGCCAAGATCATGCCACTGCACTCCAGCCTAGATGACAGAGCAAGACTTTGTCTCAAAGAAAAAACAAACAAACAAACAAAAAATATATATATATAAGCATAAGTGAAAAGATAAGATTATTATACATAATCTTACCCGCCAAGGGTAATAAGTCAACATTTTTTTTGTATATCTATTTTTATTTTTTAATTTTTACTGTTTTAGAGATGAGGTTTCACTTTGTCACCCCGGCTGGAATGCAGCGGTGTGATTATGGCTCACGTAGCCTCAAACTCCTGGCTCAAGCAATCCTCCTGCTTCAGCCTCCTGAGTAGCTAGGACAATGGGTGTGCACCACTGCATCTGGCTTAGATTTTCTTTCTTTTTTGTTTTTCTTTTGAGATGGACTCTTGCTCTGTCGCCCAGGCTGGAGTACAGTGGCTCAATCTTGGCTCACTGCAATGTCTGTCTCCTGGGTTCAAGCAATTTTCCTGCCTCAGCTTCCCAGCAAAAAAAATATTTTTAGTAAGATACATTTGGCCAGGTGTGGTGACTCATGCCTGTGATCCCAGCACTTGTGAGGCCAAGGTGGGAAGATCACCTGAGGTCAGGAGTTCCAGACCAGCCTGGCCAACATGGTGAAACTCTGTCTCTACTAAAAATATAAAACAGGACAGGCGAGGTGGCTCATGCCTGTAATCCCAGCACTTTGGGAGACTGAGGTGGGTGGATCAGGGGTTCGAGACCAGCCTGGCCAACATGGTGAAATGCTGTCTCTACTAAAAATACAACAATTTAGCTGGGCATGGTGGTGGGTACCTGTAATCCCAGCTACTCGGAGGCTGAGGCAGGAGAATCGCTTGAATCTGGGAGGTGGAGGTTGCAGTGAGCCAAGATCACGCCACTGCACTCTAGCCTGGGGCAACAAGAGCAAAAACTCCGTCTGGGGGGCGGGGGGGAAGCCAGGCGTGGTGGCATGTGCCTATAATCCCAGCTACTCAGAAGGCCAGAGAATCACTTGAACCCAGGAGGTGGAGGTTGCAGTGAGGAAGATCTTGCCACTGCACTCCAGCCTGGGCAAAACAGTAAAACTCCAAAATAGTGAAACTCTGTATTTAAAAAAAAAGAAAAGATATATTTAAGTCTCTTTGCCCCTAATGTTCCTTTGCTACATGTGGAAAAGTTGTTATTTTTCACCTTTGAGTGACAGTTACAGAAGGGTACCCAAGGTCTGTCATGATTGAAATAGGTTCCCAGGCCAGCTGTGGTGGCTCACATCTGTAATCCCAGCACACTGGGAGGCTGAGGTCAGGAGTTTTGAGACCAGTCTGGCTAACATGGTGAAACCCCACCTCTACTAAAAATACAAAAAATTGGCCAGGTGTGGTGGTAGGCGCCTGTAATCCCAGCTACTCAGGAGGCTGAGGCAGGAGAATCGCTTGAACCTGGGAGGCAGAGGTTTCAGTGAGCCGAGATCAAGCCACCACACCCCAGCCTGGGTGACAGAGCTAGCCTCTATCAAAAAAAGAAGAAAAAAAAAGGTTCCCAAATTTTTCACTATAGGCACTTACAAAAGGTATCAAAAAAGGGTGTGCTGGGCATGGTGATTCATGCCTGTTAATCCCAGCACTTTGGGAGGCCAAGGTGGGCAGATCACTTGAGGTCAGGAGTTCGAGATCAGCCTGGCCAACATGGTGAAACTCCATCTCTTTTAAAAATAGAAAATTAGGCTGGGTGTGGTAGCTCACACTTGTAATCCAAGCACTTTGGAGGCCAAGGAGGGCGGATCACCTGAAGTTGGGAGTTCAAGACCAGCCTGACCAACATAGTGAAACCCCGTCTTTAAAAAAAAAAAAAAAGATTATAATAATAATAAAAAAAGAAAATTAGCTGGGCATGGTAGCACATGCTTGTAATCCCAAGTATTAGGGAGGCTGAGGCATGAGAATCGCTTGAACCTGGGAGGCAGAGGTTCAGTCAGCCGAGATCATGACATTGTATTCCAGCCTGGGTGACAGAATGAGACTCCTTCTCCAAAAAAAAAAAAGGCTGGGAGCAGTGGCTCAAGCCTGTAATCCCAGCACTTTGGGAGGCCGAGGCGGGTGGATCACAAGGTCAAGAGATCGAGACCATCCTGGTCAACATGGTGAAACCCCGTCTCTACTAAAAATACAAAAAATTAGCTGGGCATGGTGGCGCGTGCCTGTAATCCCAGCCACTCAGGAGGCTGAGGCAGGAGAATTGCCTGAACCCAGGAGGCGGAGGTTGCGGTGAGCCGAGATCGCGCCATTGCACTCCAGCCTGGGTAACAGGAGTGAAACTCCGTCTCAAAAAAAAAAAAAAAAAAAAAAAAATTAGTTGGGCATGGTGGCATGCACTTGTAGTCCCAACTACTCCGGAGGCTGAGGCAGGAGAATTGCTTGAACCCGGGAGGCAGAGGTTGCAGTGAATCGAGATCACGCCACTGCCCTCCAGCATGGCACCTGGTGACAAAGCAAGACTCTGTCTCAAAAAAAAAAAAAAAAAGCCAGGCACAGTGGCTCATGCCTCTAATCTCCGCACTTTGGGAGGCCAAGGCAGGCAGATTGCCTGAGGTCAGGAGTTCGAGACCAGCCTGGCCAACAAAATACAAGAATTAGCCAAGTGTGGTGGCGCATGCCTGTAGTCCCAGCTACTTGGGAGGCTGAGGCAGGAGAATCGCTTGAACCTGCAAAGCAGAGGTTGCAGTGAGCCAAGATCACGCCACTGCACTCCAGCCTGAGCAACAAGCACAAGACTTCGTCTCAAGAAAAAAATAAAGAGGGGGCTGGGAGAATTGAGTGAAGGCGGCTATACTGAGAAAAGAGAGATTTGGAAAAGGGATGAGGGAAATGCATTTTTCTAGGCTGAGGAGAGTGGGGAAGCTAGGAGGACCAGTGGATGGAAGGGAACAGATTTACCTGGAGAAGCAGCTGGAGGTCCAGTGGTAGGCTGGGAAGCTGAAGGGTTGCTGTCATTCTGCACCTGAAGGCCCAGATTACATATTCAGATCCTGCTCCCTCCCATGCTTCTTGTCTTGATCTGCCCTCCTTTCCCACCATTGTAGCCACAGGACTCACCGCCTTGTTGGGTGCCTGCTGGGTGCTATACTCTGGGTTTGGCTCACTGAAGTTAGGAACCTCAGAATAAACCATACAGAATCTGTAAGGGAAGAAAGCAGCTAAAGCCTTGGATTCATCCTCTGGGCCATTGCTGGAGGCCTCAGAAAAGTCCAGATAGGTTGTGTGTGGTCACTCACACCCGTAATCCTAGCACTTTGGGAGGCAGAGGCAGGAGGATCACTTGAGCCCAGGAGTTCAAGACTAGCCTGCACAACATGGTGAAACCCTGTCTCTACAAAAAATTTTAAAAAATTAGCAAGGTGTGGTGAAGCATGCCTGTAATCTCAGCTACTTGGGAGGCTGAGGTGGAAGGATCAGCTGATCCCGGGAGGTCAAGGTTGCAGTGAGCTGAGATCATGCCACCGCACACTCCAGCCTAGGTGACAGAGACCGTGTCTCAAAAAAAAAAAAAAAAAAGTCCAGGCCGGGCGCGGTGGCTCAAGCCTGTAATCCCAGCACTTTGGGAGGCCGAGGCGGGTGGATCACGAGGTCAAGAGATCGAGACCATCCTGGTCAACATGGTGAAACCCTGTCTCTACTAAAGATACAAAAAAATTAGCTGGGCATGGTGGCACGTGCCTGTAATCCCAGCTACTCAGGAGGCTGAGGCAGGAGAATTGCTTGAACCCAGGAGGCGGAGGTTGCGGTGAGCCGAGATCGCGCCATTGCACTCCAGCCTGGGTAACAAGAGCGAAACTCCGTCTCAAGAAAAAAAAAAAAAAAAAAAAAAAAGTCCAGAAATAGGGCTTGGACTGCACAGCCTGTGCTACCTCCTTGCAAACCTCAATTTTCCTCCTTGTGCTGGTGCTGCTTCCTCCCAATCCCCAAGACCGCACTTACTCTCCAATCTTCTGCAGATCACCCCCACGGCCCGTATACAGTGTCAGACAACCTTTGAAAACTGAAGCATACCTATGGAGGCAAAGAAAGCAAAATTCAGACTACTGAGAAGTCTTACAGGAACTGTTAACCCCACTATTGATTGTTGCCTTTGGAAGGCTAAAAGTTACCACCTGGCTTACCCTTTGGTGAGCCGGATAATGTCCCCAGGCTGAATCAGATTGCCGACGTCATCCCAGACGGAGATATTGATGCTGCCTGTTTTGTCTGCCACTTTGCAGGTCCGAACCTCATGCCCGTCCTTTGTCTTGGTCACTCGGCCTGAACGGAACAGATAAATCGAGGTGGGAGGACGATCAAATAAATGGAGTGGTAGTTGTCAGAAGAATGAGATGTGGATATTGGTGGGATGAGGGAGAAGGTGTACAAACAGGGCAATGCCCAAATCCCTGAGGCATAAGGGGCTGGGATTATGGAAGGTGTGTGTGGGAGGGGGCGGGGGGGGGGTAGCAGTTCAGGGGCCAGCACCATGGAGAGGGCCCTGAGGGGAAAGAGACACATGTGGCACAGGAGGTCTAGATCTGGCAAGACTTCTATCTACCCTATACCAGACTGCAGCCTTCTGTCCCAGGGTCGAAGAGAGAGACTGGGAGTGAGGGGTGTCTTGTGGCTCGCCTTGCCATCCTCACACCAAGTTAAGAACGCAAACAGCGTTCTTCCCCTCCTGCCCCCTACCCCCACCCCGCGAACCTGCCACCCCAGTATAGACACCTGTCTCCAGCACAATGAAGATAAGGTTCAGATTCTTGAGCCCGGGCTTGATATCCTTCACAAAGGTCTCCGTCGTCATGCTGCCCGAGCCTCGGCACCCCACTGGATGGGGAATAGGGTATGAAGGCTCAACGCTTGGATCCTTTGCCCCCATGCTCCACTTCCCAAGGCCTACCTACCACATTAGGCTGGGGTCAGGCAGCCTCAACCCCTCTAACCCTTCTAAAAGATTTAAAAAGAACATCCCCGGAGGCCTCCAACTTCAAGATCAGAATTTGGGGGTCTCTGGACAGGCTGCTTTGGGGCTGGAAGGCCCCCTGCCGAGATGCTCTTTTAGTCTCAAGCCATGAAGTGGCGGAGCCGACGTAGACAGGGGTAGGGAACCCGGTGCAGAGCCAGGGAGTAGAATCTTACTGGCCAGACCTTCCCGAACCCTCATCCCGACAACCCGGGACTCGGTCCATCCCCTCCCCCACCCGCAGCCCACCACCCACCCAGCCAGCCGGCAGGACTGTGCACGCCGCTGAGCAGCCCGCAGGGGGAGCCACAGGCTCTGCTGCCGCCGGAAGCTGCTCGCTGGAACGCTGGAGTGCAGACATTCCCGGAAGTTTCCCCAGGCTGCCCTCCTCCGGCCAATCAGCACCGCCCGGGCGCGCCCTGCGTCGGGCCGCCTGCCCTGCCCAGCCAATCGGGATCTGAGACTCGTGCGCCGGGAAGGGGGCGAATTTCAGGTATTAAAGGAGCCTCGGAGATAGTTGGCTCTGTAGGGGGAAAAGATTCACCGCTAGTGGGCGCACAGGGCCCCAATTTTCCGTGACATGGCTAGAGAGAATGCGCTTAGCCTCTGAGATGTTTCTTTCCAAAGAGTGATACCATGGGAAAAGGAGCAAGGGCTTCGGAATCTGGCGGACAAAAGTTTGAATCCTGGCTCAATGCTTCACTTCTTTTCTCGACGATTTAAACATACGTAATTCCGTCAGGCGCAGTGGCTCACGCTTGTAATCCCAGCTCTTAGGGAGGTGTAGAGGCTGGAGGATAGCATGAGCCCAGGAGTCCAGACCTGCCTGGGCAATATAGCGAGACCCCATTCTCCACAAAAAGGCAAAAATAGACAAAAAAAAAAAAAAAATGTAATTCCATCTTGCAGACGAGAAAACAGAGGTTGTTAAAAAGCAGTGCCTTGCACACAAGGTTTCCTCCATTTTATTGCTCTAACTCTTATATTTATTCCTTATTTGGGGTTTTCATCTTTTTATTTTTTAATTTTTTATTTATTTTTTATTTTTTTATTTTTATTTTTTTTGAGACGGAGTTTCGCCCTTGTTACCAGGCTGGAGTGCAATGGCGCGATCTCAGCTCACCGCAACCTCCGCCTCCTGGGGTCAGGCAATTCTCCTGCCTCAGCCTCCTGAGTAGCTGGGATTACAGGCACACGCCACCATGCCCAGCTAATTTTTTGCACTTTTAGTAGAGACGGGGTTTCACCATGTTGACCAGGATGGTCTCCATCTCTCGACCTCGTGATCCACCTGCCTCGGCCTCCCAAAGTGCTGGGATTACAGGCTTGAGCCACCGCGCCCGGCTATCTTTTTATTTTTATTTATTTATTTATTTTTGAGACGGAGTTTCGCTCTTGTTACCCAGGCTGGAGTGCAATGGCGCGATCTCGGCTCACCGCAACCTCCGCCTCCTGGGTTCAAGCAATTCTCCTGCCTCAGCCTCCTGAGTAGCTGGGATTACAGGCACGCGCCACCATGCCCAGCTAATTTTTTGTATTTTTAGTAAAGACGGGGTTTCACCATGTTGACCAGGATGGTCTCGATCTCTTGACCTCGTGATCCACCCGCCTCGGCCTTCCAAAGGGGGTTTTCATCTTTAATGCACTACCTAGCTTGGTCAAGGTCTCTGGGAAAAGTGGCACACCAGAGACAAAAGGCAGGCTCACCTTTCTTGGAAGAAATGGAACCTGCAGCATAGAGAGAAATACTTGTTAGCCCCTCCTGTTTTTGGAAACAGCCTCGCTGTGTAGCCCAGGCTGGAGTGCAGTGGTACAATTTCTTTTTTTTTTTTTTTTTTTTTTTTTTTGAGACGGAGTTTCGCTCTTGTTGCCCAGGCTGGAGTGCAATGGCGCGATCTCGGCTCACCGCAACCTCCGCCTCCTGGGTTCAAGCAATTCTCCTGCCTCAGCCTCCTGAGTAGCTGGGATTACAGGCACGTGCCACCATGCCCAGCTAATTTTTTGTATTTTAAGTAGAGACGGGGTTTCACCATGTTGACCAGGATGTCTCGATCTCTTGACCTCGTGATCCACAGTGGTACAATCTTGACTCACTGCAACCTCTGCCTCCCTGGCTCAAGCGATCCTCCCACCACAGCCTCCCTAGTAGCTGGGACTACAGTGTGTCCCACCACTCTCGGTTAATTTTTATATTCTTTTGTAGAGACGGAGTTTTGCCATGTTGCCCAGGCTGGTCTCGAACTCTGACTTCAAACGATCCGCCCACCTCGGCCTCCCAAAGTGTTGGGATTACAAGCGTGAGCCACTGTACCCGACCATACTACTTTTATCTTACTCGATCTGAGTCCCCTCTAGTGGACGGCAGAAAAAAAGTCTGAAACTTTGGTTCCTTTTGGGAGCTGTCAAATTGTCCACAAAAGATAGCTAGCTCTGTATTGTTGAGTATAAACAAATTTACATAGAGGTGTGTGTGTGTGTGTGTGTGTGTGTGTGTGTGTGTGTATTAATGTGCAGTAACATTGCTTAGCCAACGTCCACAATAAATGCCATACCATTTAATACCAGATTAGCCTAAGAGGTCATGTAATTGTAATGCCTTAGTTTGCTTAATTAACCCCTTATCTTTTCATGGAGCTCTTTAGGCTCCACATTGACTTCCCTTGGATCCCAGGTTCTCTACCACCCACACCCCCAACACCATGGTGTTGTAAGCTAAGGAAATCAAACTCCAACTGAGGAAGAGGGAAATTTTCTCTCCTTTCCTTCTTAGGTGTTTCAGGAACTCCTCAAGTGTTCGAGGAGCCATCGTGGATACGGGAAGAGTGCGCCTGGGAGACAGGCAGGCAACCCATTGAGCACCCCAGATCTAAGCTTTGCGGTCAGACTCCCTCACTCCCCACCCCGCGACCGCCTTGTTAACTGCAATATCCATTCCCATGACAGGGGTCAAGGGGTGACGAGACTCCGGGATGCCGACCGGGGCTCTGGAAAAGGGAGAGGGGCTGGACCCACAGCCGGTCACGCTGCAGACCCGCCCCTCCGCAATGATCTCGCACCAATCCGCGTCAGCTCTAGGACACAAGTCACGTGCACCCTTTAAAAGCGAAGCGTGGCCGGCCAGGCCCACCCGTTCTTGTCGGGAAGATCATAGAGTTCTTCCTCCCAAATGACTATATAGTCCTGACTGAGACCACAAAGACTTCCCGTCTAGAGCGGAGGCCTGGCTAGCCTTCGTCTCTCCTCGTAGGTCGCTCGTGGCGGCTAGCGTAGGGGCTGAGTTAAACAAAGAGGCGGGGCTTGGTGACGAGCTTCCGCCGGGTTGCGTAGCAGCAGTGGGCGGGGCAAAGGATCCACCAGAGACAGCGACGAGTGGTCGGAGCCTTCTTTCCCCTCCTTCCCCTTTCCCTTCCCTTCCCGGGAAAGGCTGGGACCCGGCATCAGGGCAGACCTGTGGCCGCTGCTGCCTGAGCTCCAACTGGGCCAGGGTGCGGAGAGTCCAGGCAGCTACCAGGGCGGTGCGTACTGCGCCTGCGCGATCTTCCACCTAAAAGAGGGTGTGGGAGGGGAGGAGGTGATGTCCCAGGGGTATTGGGGCAGGGGGTTGAAATACTGGGGTTCAGGAGGAGGGATGTTGGTAAAGATGAAAATGGGGGAAGGAAGCAGCACTGGCGAGGAGTCGAGAGGTGAGAAAGGAGCTCTGGAGATTGGGTTGTTGGGGAAGGTCCATTGGAATAGGGGAGCTTTGAGAAGTGCGGGAGGGGCCCGGGGCTAGCTGGAGGACCGGCAGCTGCGGACCTAGGGGAACAACGCGGTGTTTAAATGGGCAATGATTGACGGACCAGAAGGGGAGGAAGGGAGCATTCCGGGGGCCAGCCTGGGCCGGGGCGGTGGAACCTAAGCCCCCGCCCTCGAAGCGCCATAGCTTGGCTCCTCTCCCATGCCTTGTCTTTGGCAGCCTTGTCCTCTCATTCCTTCCCCGCTCCTCTCCCCCTCTTAGCCCTCCATGAAGGAATCTCACATTCTTCACATCTCTGCGCCTAGTTTGCAGCCTGGTCCTCTGATAGGCTTCACACACCACACACTGGAAGGCCTTCCCTAACCCAGGACTTTGGGAAATTGGGGAGTGGGAAGGAGGGGGCCAGAGGAAGAGCAGAAAGCTAAGAGGGTTAAGGGCGTTTTTCTTGAGGGATTGACAGACTCCTTCCCCATTCAGAAACTTCCTTTCACCTAATAACAAGTGGAGTTGTTAATGAGGCCACTGTTCCTGGGGACTGGCCCGCGATAGTGTTATCCCTTTCTATAGAGTGGTTTTAGAGTCTGACAATAGGGCAAGAGGTTGAGTGTGTTGTTGGCTGATAGTTTTGCCCCAAATAAGAATGGGGTGGATTCGTGGTAGGGAATGTGAGTGATGCAACGTTACTACCTTGCATGTCCAGCCCACCTGTGGCTAGGCCTACCTTCTAGTAAAAAGAACGAACAAACTTCTTTTAAGCATTTTCTCTCCGACTTTCAGTACTCTAAATTTATTTATTTTGCCTTTTTTTTTTTTTTTTTTTCGAGACTGAGTCTCACCCTTGCCCAGGCTGGAGTACAGTGGCACAATCTCAGCTCACTGCAACCTCCTTCTCCTGGGTTCAAGCGATTCTCCTGCCTCAGCCTCCCGAGTAGCTGGGATTACAGGCACCCGCCACCGTGCCCAGCTAATTTTTTGTATTTTTAGTAGAGATGGGGTTTCACCATGTTGGCCAGGCTGATCTCAAACCCCTGACCTTGGCCAGGCGCGGTGGCTCACGCCTATAATCCTAGCACTTTGGGAGACCGCGGCAGGCGGGTTGCCTGAGCTCAGGAGTTTGTGACCAGCCTGGGCAACACAGTGAAACCCCGTCTCTACTAAAAATACAAACAATTAGCCAGGTGTGGCTGTATGCACCTGTAGTCCCAGCTGCTCAGGAGGCTGAGGCAGGAGAATTGCTCGAACCCAGGAGGCAGAGGTTGCCATGAGCCGAGATTGTGCCACTGCACTCCAGCCTGGACGACAGGGTGAGGCTCCATCTCCAAAAAACAAAAACCCTCACCTCAGGTGATCAGCCCACCTTGGCCTCCCAAAGTGAGAGGATTACAGGTGTGAGCCACCGTGCCCACCCTTATTTTGCATTCTGTTGCTACAAATAATATCTCACTTGAGGATGACAGTATTCAGTATCCTTTCATGTTTGTGTATTTATTTATTTATTTTTGAGATGAGGTCTCACTGTCACCCAGGCTGGTGTGCAGTGGTGCGATCTCTGCTCACTGCAACCTCTCCTCCTGGGCTCAGGTGATCTTCCTGCTTCAGCCTCCTCAGTAGCTGGGACTACAAGC